ATTGTTTTTAACTCCCACATCTTTTAGAGTGATGATTGCCTGCGTTGTTAAATTGGGAGATTGATTTTTATCAGTGTTATTTGTGTGTTTCATTTTCATTTCTTTAATCTTCATTCATTTTAATCATTTAATATAAAAACAAAAAAAAAGTATTTTAATTTCAATTTAATTCAAGGTGTTTACTTTGCAATTATCAAATCAAAAATCCTTTTTATAATATAGGTTACTTGCATTTATTTACTAGGGTTTAATTTCATTTTCGGCTCCTCAAAGTGAATACGACCCGGATTGTGCATTATATTGCATTAATTCAGTTAATTTTTGGAGTAACCCCAAAACGACAATTAAGGGAAGTTAACTTCAGTGAGATTGTGTATATGGCCTCCGTCTTGCAATTGATGGATTTAATATATAACCTAATATCTTTTCAAAATCTATGCCTTCCATCTATTGCGTCTTTTTCTTTTCTTTCTTTCTTTTTAATTCTTTTCCTTTTGTTTTAGCTTTCCTTCTATGTTTATTTCCTTTTCTGAGACCTACAAAAGATAAATTGAGATATTATCATAAAGCCCAAAATCAATTATTTAAAAAGAGATAAAATATGATAAGATTTTCTTTTAAATTTCTAATTTTGTGCCACCAATATTTAATTCAAAATATCCACAATCAATGCAAATTATTCCACTTTAATTGATAAATATCTCCAAAAAGACATTAAATAATATATTAAAATAGGGATTTATCAAGAACACGAGACAACCAGGGCAGCTCAACTGCCATCCATCATCTTCTTCTTCTTCTTCTCGCAGAGCGAACCAGTGAGCAACGCCGCGAAGAGTGACGAGAACCAGAGAGGAGACTAGCGACAGTGATCATCTCCCCAACCTCCTATTTCTTCACCTCAAATCATCATCTTCCATATCCACCGAAATCCACCATCACCGTATCCTTCCTCCATTTCCCTCAACATCATCCACTATTTCATCATCATCTTCCACGTCTCCATCATCTCTTCCATGGCAAATCGTAACAAAGCATTGATTGTGGCATTTTTCATGGCTAACCATGGTTAGAGCTCCTTAATTCTCTAATTCAACAACAATGGCAGGAGCTTGGATCTTCACAGGGGAGTTTTAGTTGCTTTAATTTCCTGCTCAATAATTGTTTAACAATTCCTAGGTCTTAGGATAGTTTTTCTGATTGTTGAGATAATTGTATTGCTTAATCTGATTATGTTTGGGGATTATTGTGGCTAGATTACTGTTTAGAATTTGACATTGGGCTGTTTATAGCTTTAATTTCAATTATAATGTTGTGGTTATGACATTTGTATTGACTTTGGAGTTAATATACTGTGGTTTTCTGAGATGGCTTAGAATCTTATATCATATTGTCTCTTGCTAGCTTTAATTCTATTATTTTGGATTTAAGAGTTCTAATTAAACATTGGTTTTTAGCATCATTAATCCCATTTTACTATTCTGGTTGCAATTAGTAAGTTGGGATTTTACAAAAATATTTTGTGGCAATTCGAGGTGGCTCGGTTGTTGGATTAAAAGCTTAATTATTATTCTTAATTCATTGTTTTAACTCCCATATCTTTTAGAGTGAGGAATGCCTGCATTGTTGAATTGGAGGATTGATTATTATCATTGTTTACTCGCGTGTTTCATTTTCATTTCCTTCATCATCATTCATTTTAATCATTCTTATATATTAAAAAAAGTATTTTAATTTCAATTTGATTCATAGTATTTAGTTAGCAATTCATAAAAATCAAAAATCTTTTTTACAGTTTAGGTTACTTGCATTTATTTACGAGGATTTAATTTCATTTTCGGCTCCTCAAAGTGAATACGAGCCGGATGGTGCACTATATTGCATTAATTCGGTTAACTTTTGGAATAACACCAAAGCGACAAATTAAAGGTATTATTTCAAACACTTCAATAAGTAGAAGGTAAGGGGAAAAAATAGAGATGGCCTAACCATGCAGCTCGAGAGATGTCACATTCAAACCGAGATGAGCAGAGGTTTGTGTGGGCTAGTAAAGAGGGTGGGGTAGTGTGTGTTTATATAACTAGAAATTGTAGGGAATTAATAATTGATAGAAGTTGTAGGGAATTACAATTAATGATAGATCTTTTAGAGGTTGCGGATTGATGAGAGGTCGTAGTATGGTGCCATTGTTTCTTTAATTATATGCATTTTTTAATTATTAATTAATAATTAATGATGGATCTTTGATTTGAAAAGAAATAGAGCAAAATTATGCTAAGCTACTCCCTCTAGTTAGTTATGGTAACCAACCATGCATCATGAATATAATATATACATCAACCTTAAATATGGGCCACGTAAAAACTGAAAGAATTGCAATGAGTTCCAAAATAAAGAATATAATTATTAAAAAGTCCCAATAACAAGTGACAAGTTATCATTTAGTATTTTAAAACTTGTCATTGTAGGCTGTCTTGTTGTCACTAGGATTTTGTAGTAATTATATTCTTTATTTGGGATTTCATTGTGATTCTTCCTAAAAACCCTATTTCCTAGTTGATTTGGTCCCCGTAAACGCAAAATCCCGTTGTCTTGTCTGGAACGTGTAGATGGTCCTACATAATTGACATTTGTAGCTTTCATGTCTTAATATTTTTGGTTTTCCACAATTATTTGCAGCAAATACACACACTTTTCTGATTCTATTTATAAAGTAGAGAGAATATTTTATTTATTTCTATTTATTTGTAAGTCACATCATTAAAATTTTTATGAGTATGCAATTTTACCTTTAATTTATTATCATATAAATTATTGTTTCATTTAAAAGTGTATGTATATTAAATAAAGTTAAGTTAAAAAGTTATTAAATTGTAATGCAGAGTTAATGAGGTTTAAAATTTTCTTGGAATAAAATATGTTGTAATTGCTTTCTGATCTGAAATATGTATATGTATGTATGTATGCATGCATGTTTGTGCGCTCGAACCTTGAATATTTGCCAGCTAGAAAAGATATATTCCATTAACTTTAAATTTTAATTGGATCATCCATAAGTTTGATCTATTAATTACTGTACGTTACGGGGAACGAGTTCAGAGGTTTTTTTATTCATAACCTATAAACAGTGAAATTAATTCTTCAAATGCTGCATGGTGAGAATTATTTCCCCATATGTTATAGTCAAAGTTGTTTAAACTGAACAACTTTTGAAATTCATCTAGATAAGAATAATTTCTTCAATAAGTATGCAATTAAACTTTATCTTAATATGAACAATATCTAAACTTCATCAACTCTTGAAAACCTCTTCACAATCTCAGATCACGCGTATATCCCTATAATGATTCAGTAATGATTTGATTATTGTTTTCCTAATAAATTATGAGTTAATCATTATATAATAATATAGCAATAATTAATACTATATTAATAAAAAAAGTTATTTGTGAAAATAAAACGATTAGGTTTTAAAAAATTAATAATAAATAATGAAATTGACATGAACAAAAAATAAAAATTAATTCACTTTACAACTAATGACTTCCGGTATCACATCTTGAACTCCTCCACATATTCTTGCATTTGATCTAATGCGCCATGTGTTAATTAACTAAGTTTTCGCCATTTACGGTTATATCTTTTATTTTCTTAATTAAAAGTTATAATTTCTCATCATTCATTATGACTAATATTTTGTTTTTTATAACTTAGTTTTCTAATTTTTACAAAATATTTAACATTCGCAAAACTTCTAAGTTTATAATGGATTGAGTTATTATAAATATAATTTTTATATTAAAAATGAGAAAAATATTAAAATATTTGTATCATCTTTATATCTTTTTCACTAAAATCAAGCAACTGAACAACCATATTTGTAATATTTCTCATGAATCAATATCTAAAATGGAATGAGTTAAAATAAGAGATGGTTGTCAAGTAAAGGGTCTCGTTGGCCGAAAAGGAAAAAAAAAAAAAGGTTAAGGGTCTCATCATTGGCATATAATACTCTCCTATTCTAAATATAAGACTCATTTTATAATATAAATTATACTACAAAATGAATATTATATTTAAGATAGGAGGAATATGTTCACCTAAATAAGTTTACTAATTAATCTCTGAATTCTTGTCAATGAGTTGTCTCATTATGATTCATGTTGTTAACATAACCCTATGAATATTACTAATTATGCATTAATATGAAATATAAAATAGATAATAAATTCTACTGTTCGATGTATACAAGAATATTTCTTAATTAGCCGATGGTTTAAAACTAATTCCTAGTTATCTGCCAACATTCAGATCTTATTAAGAGTTTTCAGATATAAGAAGGTCAGATTCTTCCAGTTTAACTAATTAACGTAGTGTAGTGACAAGCTTGAATTTGCTAATTAAGGAACCTTTGGATAAACAGTAAAATTATCATTGTGGGTCTTTTTGTGGTTGTTAGAGCGAGGTGATTTAAAGATAAACTGTGACAAGCTTGAATCTGCTAATTTGTGGAATTCACTTTGTATAATAGATAGTTTCTCATTGAAATTATATATAAAAAGTATGATGTTACTGTTAAACAATTTTTATTTTTTTAGTTTAATAAAAAAACATAAAAATAAAAAGTCAAAATCACCAATCCACTAACATGCTTTTTTTTTTTTTTTACCCAAACTCTATCTGGATTATTTTGACCCTATAATATGATACATAAGCCCTCGTTTCATTTTGGAAAAATTCATTTTCCGTATCTTTATCAATTTTTTGGTGCCAGTCGTGTGTCATCTCCGTGGGAGAACCAACAAAAATTTGGAAAAATCATGTTGACATTTTCCTCTCCAAATTATGGGGACATGATTTGTAGGTGGAATCATTAATTCCCAAACAAAACTCGAAGTTTTGATGGTCCGAGGAAAATCGATAAGAATCGAGTAAAAAATTCGAGTAATGTCATCAATGGAAGATTCAATTTACTATTCGGCTAATCCTCCTTGCGTCCTTTATTCCATTGTTCCCATGTCTTGTTCCCTTTTCCATCTTTTCAGACCATTAATTATCAATGCATCCATGAAATCAAACCAAACAGTAATTGGGAATATGAAATATAGAGCCATAGAAACCCAATAATCAACTGAAATTTCAGTAGCAAATTAACAGATAGAGATGTCACAACAATGATCAAGCCAAAAGGCTTCATAATCAAACAAAACATGACTTCTATAGAACAAGTCCAACAAGAAACTATTTTGCATTACACGCAACAATATCCATTTTAGTATAAACTAATGTAAAGAAACTACCTAGCTGAGAGGATAGTGATTGAATCAAGATTCCCAGAATGATTGATTGGATGGCATGGCTCACCATTTGAATTGGAAAGTCAATCTCCATAGCTAAACATTCCTTTAGTTCATGCAACACATAACTAATGTCTGGCCTTTTGGCGCACTGTGGCGCAATGCATGACATTGCCGTCTCCACAGCGTTCCATGCAGAACTAACATTGAATTCACCTGCCAACCTTAGATCAACAATGCCTCGAATATCCCCCCACTCAATTTTTGGACAGATCCAATCAATGATGAAACATATATCCTCAAGTTCTCTTCTTACCGGTGGATGGCCTGTGATCAGTTGAAGAAGAATCGTACCGAAACTATAGATGTCACTTTCTTTGTTTAGGTTTCCAGACATTTGAAATCTGTAGTGTCAACCAACAATTAGTTTATCATACAATAGTCTTTTATTTTTTTTAGATTAATATTTTTCATTGATAAAATGCAATGACTTACTCAGGATCAATATAACAAGGTGTACCAGCTGGTTGAGTTGATAGATGAGTGTCTCTTTCATTTTTAAATGCTCTAGATAATCCAAAATCAGCAAGCTTGGCTACCCTGGATTGATTTAACAGAATATTGGATGGTTTTAAGTGTCAATGAATTATGGGAGTCTTACAGCCATGATGAAGATATTCCAATCCTGAAACTTCATCAGATTATGTAAGTTATGGTAAAATGTGATTGTTAAGGGGAGAAAAAACTCATTAGTTCTCTAACCTCTTGCTGCATCCACACCAACTTGTAGTCTATCGCTCCACTTTAAAATTTTTGAGTTTTTCTCTGCAGAGACATTGGTTTTTGGTCAATATAATGGAACGCCAGGAACCAAAACAGGCATATGATGATGTATATGTAACAATTCAATAAACTGTATGATATAAATGAAGCTGTTAAAAGAATTTGAACAACAAATCGAAGTGTCAAGGTTGGGTCAACTCTAAGTTTGTTTTAGAAGGAAAAGGGAAAAGTGGGTAAAAAAGAGTATGGCAAAGTAGAAGTTTTGGAAACTTTGTGAGGGGACTAGCACTTGAAAAGAACAGATATTTTTCTCTTTTCCTTTTGGTTGTTATCTTTTCTACTATTATTTGCTGAGAGGATAATCAAGTCTCCCTATCTCCGATGGTATACTCTTGGATTGGCAAAAGAAGCCACATCACTTCAAAAGTTAATATCTGTGAGGTATTTATAATTAATTTTTGATTAGTATATATAGTTTTTGATGCTAGATGCTGGGACATTTAATCATTCATTGGAGTTAATTAGAAGTACATAGGAATCCAAATTCACTTTGCCCCAGGGAAAAAAAAAGTTTCTACTAGGATCAATGATCGAAAAAGCTGTTGGCAAAAGTCTGAGGAGGTAATCTCATAGCAAATGAATTTTCTAGAAGTTATATGCTGGTAAAATAAATAACTTTGATGTGAATTGATGGAACAATGCTAAAGATAGTGAAATCAGGCGAGGAGTTATGGACACAGATGGACAAAGTTTGAGCTTCTTGGTTGTGAGTGCCAATAAATTTCTTGTGCACAAGTTTTTAGTCAATAAAATAGATGTTTCATTTCAAAGTCATATTCCGCAGGTTCCTGTGGGAGGTATTCCCAACCAACTTCTTCCCCGTAGATATATTATAAAGGCAAGAAAACCGTAGTAAAATTACACCAACCATTATGAAATATGAGAGAAGTTTTAATTTGATCATTTTAAGACAAACCTGCCAATAGTCCGCTGAGGTCTCCAAGATCCATATATTCATAAACCAACGCTTTGATGTCGTTTTCATCACAAAACCCAACAAATGAAACCAGGTTTCTATGATGAATGACTGTTAAGAGTTGAGCCTACAAGTTAAAATTAGTCAGATCTCTATTTTAGAACATAATTTTTTAATAAGAACATCATTCTACCAAATAGGAATATATTCAACATTGGGTTATTAAAAAAAATTAAAAACTATAACTTGATTACTTTTATTTCTAACCTCTGATTGAAATTCCTTAAAGCCTTGCCTTGAATATGGAGAAAGTAACTTAACAGAAACCTTTGTATCATCTTCTAAAGTGCCAAGGTAAACTTTCCCAAACCCTCCTTCTCCAATAGCAGTTTCAAAATTGTTTGTGATACGGAGAACCTCCGAGTAAGAAAATGACTGATTCTTGTGTTTTACAGCTTCCCTTTTCTGAGATTCCCTTAGGATGACTACAACATTAAATGAAATTTTGTAAGACTTTCATGATCTTATAAAGGTGTAAAAGCAAGTAATTGAACTTAATTAGATCATTGCCCACCTAAAGAGATTAGACTGTCCGAAGACAGGGACTCAGGGCATGTACAAATATTTAAAAATAAATAAAGAATCTGGGGATAAGGTTCTATCAATGAATTGGCAGCATGTGTAAGCACAAATACCTCTTTTATGTCGAAGTCTCCAGATCACCAGAGCAACAATAACAATTAGGATGACCAAAGCTGCAACTGATGCAATAAGTGGAATTACAAAATTGTGTTTTTGGCAGGAATTCTTTTGGCAAAGACCTGGATTGTTGGCCACACTGGCAAAATAGAGCAGGGGTTAGGCTTAACAGTATAAGGATATATAATACACATTATGTCATATCATATTTGATTTATCGTATTAAAGTAGATTGCCTCTATGCTTGCAATTTAGGGTTATTTTTGTCCCTTAATGCTTTAAAAGTTAAAACAATGGAGGAACTAGTTGAAATATAGAATTTAACATTGAAGAAAAGTAAACCTTAGCTGCAATTCAGCATTTTCCTTCAAAGCATTGGGAATTGAACCAGTAAGCTTGTTTCCTGCCAAATTACTGCAAGTGGAATTCTAAGGTACACGACTTCACAATAAACATGAACACGAAAGGCTATCAAATGTAATTTTAATTAAGATCTTACTTGAACTTCAAATTCAGAAGAGTTGAGAGAAACTCTGGTAGTTGTCCAGCCAATTCATTGTTCGACAAATCCCTGTGAACAAGACTAAGCGTTATTCATAAAATCTAACAATATGCTCAGTAGTAGTATTTGAAATTTAGAGCCTATCTTATGCGAAAACTTACAAGGACTCCAATTTTAATAATTTAGCAAAGGCTTCCCTTATTTCACCTTTGAGGTTGCTTGAACTCAAGTTCCTACAATTTGTAATTTATCCACCATTGTAAGCAACGTAACTAAGAGAGAGAAACGAAAGGGAAGCTAAGGGTTATGCGTTCAAGTACATACACACATACATGATTGAGATGTATCATCAAATTAAGACATGCTGGCATTTCATGAGTTAAAAAAAAAAATCACCACACAGTAATGTTCATACCTTGAAATATTACGGCATTCTACTCTCATCCTTAACTATTGTATGCAAGATATTGTCCTTGAATGCATCAAATATAACATATCATAAATAAGAGTAGAAATATGGGGCTACTTACAATGAAGGGATCCTTATATTATCGTTGGCGGTGTAAATCAGGCCATCTCATGCTAATTTAGATGGAACACATGGGTCCCCTTGCCAACTGAATCTGGAGATCCCATAAGTATGCTTTATTTCCAACAAGGCATCAACTACAAAATTTCCAATCATAAATTCATTACACAGTATAGTTTTTTATTCTGTTTTGATTTAGTATGGTGATTATGTGGATAAAGGAAAAACTGGTGCAACGATACCCAAAACGAATGAATGATAAGAAAAAGAAATACTATCTGTGGTATAAGATCTATTTTGTAGTGCACATTATACTAGAAAATAAATCTTATATTGATGACTGAAGGTAGTAATGGAAATACCGTCTTGTGTTGCTGGAGGGGAATTGGGTTGTGAGATGGCTTCGTAAATTTCGTAGGCATTCAAGATTGGAGGAGCATCTGAATCAGCTGTTGCTATGATAGTGAAACTAACGTAACCTTTACTTATCTTGTTGGAACTTAAGGTGACAGGCTTCAAGTATTGAAGAGTAAGTAAATGAGCGGGTGATGAATTGTCATCATCATCAAAAGTGACATTGATAATCCTCTTGCGGTCAGAAGGAAGCTTCTGAATTTCAGCGAGAAGCTTCTGATAATATTGATGAGATATATCGTAACTCCAATTTGCAGTTAAGACATTGGAATTGTTTAGGGGTTGTGATGCAGTGCGTAATACTTCTAATGGCAGCTCATAGGTGGAGTTCTCTGTGTTTCCTTCTACGTACACTTGATTTTACGACATCCCAAACGTTACCATGACGTGTTTTCCACAAGCGGTCGAATGCGTCGTCCTTGTACCTGCGGTAAAGTGCGCGTACACACTTGTTTGAACAAAAACAAAAAGCTCTTTGTACGAGGAAAAAGACTACTCTTATGTTCTCAACATACTTTTGTTCAATCAACTTGGGACAAAATGGATTTTAAAGTGAGAAAGCCATGCAAGTATCTATATGTAATTTTCCTTGTGGTATTCAGACTTTTGTTCTCTTGATTAAATTCTTAATTTTTTTCCTGTTAGCTGCACTGTTAGTCCATATAACTTTGGTCTGTTAACACTGTTATCATATTAATAGAGCACAAATAAATGATTTAATCAAGAAAGAAAAATGCATAGGTATAAAATTAAAAATTGAGAGGAAAATGTAGGTATCTACAAAGTGATTTTCCCTTTAAAGTATTAGTATTGATAACAAGAGTTTGTTATACAATAAATAATATGCATAGAAAATTCTGCATGTCTTAAGTTCAATATTGTAATTTAATTAAAGTTTAGCGTGATTAAAATTTAAAAGTATTTTAAAACATTGGGGATATATAGAACTTTTGATAAATGGATAATTGATTTTGAAATTGTTGGGTGACAAGTGTGTCCTACATTAAATAAAGATGGGCTAAAAGGTGAATAAGTGGTATGACCATAAATTTATTATTTTAAAGTTTTGAATTAAAAAGAAGCTGTTGTAAGGTCAATTGGATTCCTCTTTTTAAGATGCTTCCCAGTCCCAACAATTATACATTGTGTCCCTTTCAACATAAGAGAAGAAGCAGAAGGGAGAGACCTTAATGGAAGTGAGTGGAACAAGAGAAAGGGAGGGATTTTATGGAGGAGAGAGTGCGAAGGGAGGGGAGACTAGGGGAGAGATTTTATTATTTTAAGAGCAATTTGAGAATTTAATAAAAACCTCAGCTCCAAAATTCTTCGAGGGGAAAAAAATATTAACGGGTTCAACTAAAAAAAAAAAGAAGAGTAAGTGATATGTTAAATATGAAAGGAGAGAGTAAAAAATTGATTAAAAAATTTTTAATCTCACTTGTCTGATTTTTTTTAAAATCCTACTTAATAAAATTTTCGTTCTCCTACCTTTCCATCCATTGCCCTTGATTGAATCAGACAATAGATGGGGTAGGAGGAGAGGAGAATTGAAAATGGGTTAACTAAACAAATTAAAAAAGACTACAGCTATAAAATTTGTTTGAGGCAAACAAAGGGAGGGGAGCCTCGCTTCTCTCTCCTTTTAAAACCCCAGGTGCTTCTCGTCACTTTGATGAGCAACCAAACTTATCATATCTTGAAAGTCCAGATTTTATTTTGACAGTCCAAATTTGAATTTTTTTTAATTTTTATTTCTTTGAGATAATTACTTTAATGGGTATAAAGTCTAAAATAAAAATAATTTTTTAACTATAATTGTTTTAAAAAATAACTTGTTCTATCTAAAAAATTAATTAAAAATTTTAAATCTAGACCATTCAGATTAAATCTGCGTAGTCCACATCTAATGAGCACCAAACTTGTTCGATATCAATGATATAAACACACATTTAAGGATAATAACTGAATTAAAATCTTTGATATTATGAAGAGTTAATAATATTTTTTTACTTTTGCATCATTCAGTCCACCTATATGTATATGTACGAATGTATATAAAAGATCAATTTTCAAGGTCATATAAAATAGTGGTATTTTATACTTTCAAATAATCATAGTTTTTACTTTTTATTTACTGTACATCTTTGACTTCTCAAATATATATTATTCACATAAAGTCTCACAAAATATTGAGAAAAGCTAGTTAATTATTGTAGTGTAACAAAAATGAAAGAGCACCTACCTAGTAAAAAGGATCCCAAGCGTAGAGCCACAATTGACTCGGGACCGTAGATACAAGGGAAGTGAAACTGCAGAATAGGGAGAGTTGTCAAGTGGCCTTAATTCCAGAGTGTTAATGAAAGGAGTACCTAGTCCAATATTCACCAGACACACCTGAAACAAGTGATCAGAAGGAAGCTGTTGGAGTATGATTTCTTCGAATTGGAAATAAGTTGCATTGGGCAGCCGAATTGTTATCCAATAATTGGCCCCAAAGTAGAGATCGAAGACTGGAACTGTGTTTTTGTTGTCATAATTCCCATATGAAAATATTGCTCTGATCAGATACGTTTGATTCATCTTCTGTTCTTTTTGTTGTTTTGGTTTCATAACGTAACAGTTCCTTTTCCCCTCCGGAAAACTTCTTAACGTCTTTAGTTGTCGGCGTAGGTATGGAAAGTCTTCGAAGTTGGGTGATATTTCATAGTTTTCTCCACTGCCAACGAAGTCTTCATCTGTCTGGTTCCAGATCCCGGTTTGACTGTCCAAGTAATCTCCGCTTGCTCCACAATCTATGCTTATGAAACCTGAACCAATATATTAATTATTTTCCTTGTTTTAAATAAAAATTACTCAATGTAGATTTAGGAGAAAAAGGAATAACAGAAAAGCATGCAGGTTAAGTGGTTAATCTGTTACCTGCTGAATCATGGGCTGAGTGGCTAACAATAATGATGAGCGAAACAAACACATATAGAACCAAAATCCAGAGTGGATCCAGAGTGGTGTGCTCTTCATCATGTATTCAAGTTTAGATGGAAAAGGGATAGACAAATGATGTGCTTTCAGAAGAGAAAAGGAGTAGAGAGCATATATATTAGTATCCTGCATAATCACATGACTTTTCTATGCCTGGTCTAAAAATAAATAGAGAAAATTAGTTATTTGGGTATTATCAATAATGTTAATCTTTCTTTTGGCTTTTTGTTTATTTTATTTTTGATTGCCCCCTTAATTTGGAAAAGCTCTTCCCCCCCCCCCCTCCTTAATCGTGTTTGAGGAACAAATGGACACTATCCCCTCACTTGGAAGAAGAGAAAATGAAGAAGGAAAAAATTAAGAAAAAATGAGTAGTAATATTTTTTAAATGCAAACAACTCTTTCAGTAAGAATTTAAATCTTAGTTCACTATGAATAATTGACACTTTTTGCTAAACCCAACTCAATTGATCATGAAAAAATTATTCTAAACTGCTCTAAACAAATAAGAATCAGCACTTATTGTGAAAAACCATCAACATTATAATTTGGCAATTCACAAGTTTTATTAGCTATTCATAACAAAACTTTTGCAATAAAGTTGCACTCTCTAATAAACATCTATTATTATTATTATTCAATCACAAGATAAATTTAGAAACTAACAAGTCTAATTTAGTACTTCACAAGTCGCCCATTAGCTACTAATAACAAAATTTTTGTAATAAATTAAAATTGTGCTCTTCAATATATAAATCTTTATTGGTATTCAATTACAACGACACAATCTTAAAAATTAACAAGTCTAACTTATTAATTTACAGGTTCCTATTTGCTATTCGATAGAAAACTTTTATCATAAAATTATTCTCGGTCGTCGGAGCTCTAGTTGCTAACAGTAGTGGCAGCAGGTCATTGGCAAAGGTGGCTTTAAACAATAAGAGGGGCCTTTGGGGGGGGAAAAGTGATTTGCAATTAAACCAATTTGGGATTTTTCTACTGCAAGAGGCTTTATTTTGGACTTTCATAAAATTTATATATAAACAAATTATTCACTAATGTGGATGATTTATTCCTTCTTAAAGATAATTACCCCGTACTCCAAAGAATTTTGGGTGTGGCTTAACGTTTTGACACAGTAAATATTAAGAAGCACGGTAAATTTCTTGAATACGTAAGTGGCGCAACCTTATATAAATAGATGCTGGCAATAACAAAAACTTCATATAAATAGATTGCCCTTGTGTGAATTACAAAGAAAACGACAGCAAATTAAAACGAGATAATATAAATTTGGTATAATAATTACTCTCGCAACGTACGTAATATATGTTATTAATTAAAAACAAAAATAAAATGCTTTCCTTTTTGGTTTTCAAATTGGATAGATGTGAAATTTTTTGAAAAACAAAACTCACGTCAACTTTAGGTGAAGTTCCCTAATCACGTTTTTTTTTCTTCTTATAATATTACCTATGAATTTCTTGTAAATTTTTATATCAGTTCTTATAATATAAATTAAAATTTATAAATTTTCATATTGACACTTGTTATTGTGATATTGTTAGTTATTAGAATCTGTATGTGTATTTGTAAATTCATCTATTGACTGATATAGATCTAAGGCTTTTGTTTTTTTCAAATCATTCAAGTGACGAAGTTTATTCACCCTCTTTTTATTTCATCTTTTAGCTGTATGCGGGAGACCTAAGTCAATTTGTTTTATCTCCAATATAATTCCGGTATTAAGCATTTTGACCAAATTTTGAAATATTGATTATGAAATGTATAAATTTGATAACTGTCATAATTACTAATCCGAGTGTAATAGTCCTAATTGCTAGTTAGTCCGTCAAGATCGACCAACAAGATTAAACTCGCAGACGTAAAATAATTAACCAAAGTCAAAAAAGTTATGCCTGAATGACACGTGCAGGTAACGTGTCATTCGAGGAATTGTTGAGTTTTGAATTTGATTGTGACATTGATTTTATCCCTAAAATCAAGGGAAGATTACATTAAGATTTCATCCAAGAAAAATAAATAAATAAATTATTTTTGAAATCATAAAATTAATATGAAATTTAAAAAAAATTTATTGTAAGAGATTCTATTTATTTAATTAATAAACCGGTCTTATTGTTTTAAGTGTAATCTTTTTTTTAGTACCATTCGTTAACAATTCAAAAGGTACTCCCTCCGTTCCTTATTATAAGAGACATTTGATGCTTATAGTATGTTCCTAAATATAAGAGACACTTAAAAGTTGTCTCTACTTTTTTGTGTTGATTTCCTATTTTACCCATATTTATTGTCTCCAACTCACACTCTCTCTCCTTCCCACTTCTCTTTCTTTTAAGAATTTACTATTGTTCTCTCTCATGCTCTCTCTCCTTATTAATGAGGGTATTTTTGGAAAAAAAATTATACTTTTTACACATTAATTGTTCTTAACTAATTTTAACTGTTTTTTTTATCAACGTAATTCGGTTATTCGTCTCTTATAATAAGGAACGGAGGGAGTAATAGTTAACAAATCAATATGTAATAATTAACAATTATCATCGCAAGTATTAATAATATATTTTCTCAACGTATGTTCTCAGTGCATCACAAGGATTTCAAGTTAAATATGTTTATATGTCATGCGCTGAGAAAATATATTGTTAATACTTGCCGCAATAGCTATTAATTGTTGTAGCTTAAATTATTAATAACTGCTTTTTCAGTTGTTAATCTAGAGTTGAAAAAGAAAATAAAAATAGTTAAGTAATTGAATAAGTAGAATCTCTTATTAATGAGATTTTTGGGACTTCAAATTAATTTAATAATTTTAAGGGATTTTCTTATATTTATTTTTTTAGGTAAAACCGTAATACATTTGCCGGGGGGAGGGTTTTGGTAGAACATATCGATGTTGATTTTACTTGTTGATCAATGCAAAGTAAAGAAAACTCAATTTCCAATTGTTTATTGTCAATGAATTACATCAACATCTTTTCCATTTTACAATATTCCCGGAATATTGGATTACCAAAATATGAGCTGAACGAATCAATTAATAATAATTTAGAATTATTTCATTTAATTAATGTATACATAGCATTTTAATCATATGCCTGTCCAAACTAAGTTACAAAGGTACTGTACTAACTCCTATCCTAAATATAGGAGTTAGACATGAAATTCACTTTAATCTTAAATATATATAATACTTCCATCCACTTGGACCCTCAAGTTTATAATCTTTGTTCAAAATATGCATATTAATTACACATTTATTATATATAATTAACTTAATTAATTTTTTTAATATCCAAAAATTATTTATTTAAATCTTATATTAAGTACCGCATATAGTAGTGTAGTACTATATTGTTTATAAAGAAAATAAGTTATACAAAAAGGGAAACAAAATGTAGGTGAGTTTTAGGACTTCGTTATCAAATTGTTTAATAAACAAGTCAATAAATGAAACAGAATGTACTTTATAACAAGAAAAAAATATGTGCAATAAAATTATAGGGTTGCTTATTATTGCTCTTGTAAGTTTAATAATTCACAATAAAACAAAAAATTAAAATATGCCGTCCTATTCATAATTTATGTAGATCATTGATAACCTCTCAAAATTCCTACTGAATTAAGCTGATTTAACATTCTTTTATTGGGTTTATAAGTCAATTTTGCAGGAAACAAAGCCTGAGGAAAGTAAAGAATGGAGAAGCAGCTGAAAAGAAGCATCCGCCGCGGCCTATGGAATAATCCGCCGCGGCGGATCACACAGAGAGGGAAGACTGAGCCTCTGTGAAATCCGCCGCAGCGCCCTGATGCATCCGCCGCGGCTCCCGAGCAACATTAGGAAGCAACCCGTTCGGTGAAATGCGCCGCGGCGCCTAAAGCAATCCGCCGCGGCGCCTTGCCCCTCGCAGCTGTGCGTTTTACTTCCTAACTTAAAAAATTAGGGCTTATAGAGTGAGGGAAGGGGTTTTGGTGTGAGTTCGACTTTTGAGCAATTTTGGAGGCTGGCTCTGCTAGGGTTTGGAGTTTTGAAGGCTTGGAACTTTTGGGCTTGAAGCTAGAAGAGATTCAAAGCTTGTATCTTAAATTTTCTGGGTTTCCTTCTTCTTCCCTTCTTGTTTCTACTATGACTACTAGATATTCCTATAGTTGTAGTTCTTTACTTGCCATGTATAGCTAAATCCGTTTTTCTAGGGTTATTTTGATCTATTGTATGGATTGAGATTTGGGTTTTACTATCTCTTTAGTGTTAATGATAATATTCAGTTGTTTTTACTTTGAGCTTAATGCTTCCTTTTGTCTGGCCATCATTTGGATTGATTGTTGATTAGTTTAACTTGAGAAAGTTAAACTAATTCGTGAACTTAGGTAAAAACATGCTAGTCCAGAAATTTATTTGAGTGAATAGATGGTTTGTCGATTGATCAGAGATGTATTTGTTGACCTAGCATAGACTAAATGGGTTTTGGTTTTTAAAGAGCAACCTTTTCAAACAAAGCAAGAGATTGCTGTGTTTTAATGGTGTTTGCAACATTTGGTTTTGACTTGAGAAAGCTTAATCAATTCTATAAACCCAGGCTAACTGAATTTATTGTAAAACACTATTTGAGAGTAATTAATCCAGTTTCATGAAGTACTTTAGTGAAGAATAACCCTAGTCTATTAATTGTTTCAAGGTCGATTCGATTTTATACTGCTTTAAACCATTGTTTTCTTAACTTTCATTTCACAAACTCTTTTACAACAATTATTTCACTTAACCTAATCAAATACACAATTATGATTTTTCAACTCATCTAGCCTTAGTCTCTGAGGGAACGATACTTTTTATATTACTTGCGACCCGTCCACTTGCGGTCAAGTTATTTGGTGAACAAGTTTTTGGCGCCGTTGCCGGGGACTAACGGCTAGAGTTTTTGAGGTTGATTGTCCTTATTGTGTGCTTGGTTACGCTTAAGTTCCATTTAGCATTTGTAGTAATTATAGGTAGTAGCAGTAGTTTATTTTATTCATTTCTCTTGATAAGTTTGATACTTTTGTTTTTGATTTGAATGTGCAGGTAACCCCTGACGCATGCAAAGAAGACTGGAAGTTATTGTGGAAGAAGTTACTGAAGAAGTATCCAGGTCGGGAGAAACTGAAAACACACCGGAGATTCAACAACAACCTCAGTTACTTCCACCGCCGCCGCCGCCACCGCCACCACCACCTGAATCAGAATCAGAAGAAAACATGGCGGAGGAAGATGAGAACGATGTGTACACCCTGGATGACTATTTGGATAAAGAAGGGCAGACTTTTCACTCAAGTATCCGGTTACCAGACATTCAAGCCAGGAATTTTGAAATCAAGCCTGTTATGATTCAACTACTGGGGATGATGGGTACTTTTGAAGGAAATTTTAAGGATGATCCGAATGAGCATTTGACCAAGTTCATAGAGGTTTGTGAGAACTTCAAACAAACTGGGGTTACTAAAGATGTACTGAGATTGAGATTGTTTCCCATGTCATTATCTCACAAGGCGAAAACATGGTTGAATTCTTTACCTGAACACTCCATTAAGACTTGGGATGAGCTTGTATCTAAGTTCAAGGCCAGATTTATTCCAAGGGGCAAACGGGCTACATTAAGGGGTGAGTTGCTTTCTTTCGAGCAGCATCCGGATGAGCTATTTTATGAGGCTTGGGAAAGATTTAAGGATATGTGGAGAAATTGTCCAAATCATGAGCAAAAGAAATATGTTCTAATGGAAGCTTTCTGGAATGGATTGAATGATCAGACAGTGACAATGCTGAATACCGCTTCAAACGGAGGAATCGGAAAGATGAAGGTAAATGAGCTATATGAACTGTATGAAGAGGTGGCATCTAGCACTATGCAACAGTATAACAAGAGAAGGCAAAGTTCTGGGAGACATAAGGAGCCTAGTTCTTCATCATCAAGAGATATTGCATCGCAACTTGAAGCAATATCTAAGAGATTTGACAATCTGGAATTGCAGATTAAGAAAGGAAATGCTGCAGGAGTTCATGCACTTCAGGCTCCGGGATACACTTGTGACCATTGTAATGAGGAACACCATTCTGATCAATGCCCATACACCTTGGAGACAGTCAATTATATGAATAATGCACAAAGAAGACCACAAGGGAACCCTTATTCTCAAACTTACAATCTAAATTTGAGAAATCATCCAAATTTCTCTTGGCGAAATGGGCCAAGTCTGAATCCCCCACAAATATTACCATCCGGTGCTAAACAAATGGGGCCTCCTGGTTTTCATGGTCAACCACAGCAAAATCAATTGCAACAGCAGCATCCTCAAAAGGAAGATTCCAAAATTGAGAAGATGTTTGCTCAATTATTGGCCAATCAAGAATCTGCAAGGGCTGAGAATAAGGCAACATTTTCTCTCCATGAAACTGCCATCAAGAATCTTGAGGTGCAAATGGGTCAACTGGCTTCACAAATGAATGTACTCACAAGAAGCAGCTTACCAAGTGATACCATTCCCAATCCAAAAAGGGATGGTAATGAAGAGTGCAAAGCGATCAATTTGAGAAGTGGAAAGCAGTTACCTGACATTCAGAGGCCTAGTCAGACCGGCAAGGACACCATTAACAGTAAGGCGACTGACCTTGATACAAATGAGCTTTCAGAAGAAGGTGGTATAGTAGAAGAGGAAGAAACCAAGAAAAGGAAACAAACAGAAGAAAATCTCACTGATGTGGTTCGAGGAAAGAAGTAGAGGGTGAAACGGTTGATGATAAAAAGAGGAAGACAACTCCCCCTCTTGCTACACAGATGCCGCCGCTTCCATTTCCTCAAAGGTTCAAGAAGAAAGATGAAGATGTCCAGTTCAAGAAATTTGTGGACATGTTTAAGCAATTACACATCAACATCCCGTTTGCTGAAGCATTAGAGCAGATGCCTAAGTATGCTAAGTTTCTTAAGGATGTTCTCTCCAAAAAGAAGAGATTTGGTGAATTTGAAACGGTGGCTCTGACTGAAGATTGTAGTGCCATCTTGCAGCGAAAACTCCCACCCAAACTGAGAGATCCAGGCAGCTTTTATATCTCTTGTAACATAGGCAAACACTTCAATGGAAAAGCCCTATGTGATTTGGGAGCAAGTGTTAACTTGATGCCTCTAGCTGTATTCAATCGATTAAATTTGGGTGAAGCAAGGCCAACAACAGTTACATTGCTCTTTGCTGACAGAAGTATCTCATATCCAAAAGGGATTGTAGAAGATGTATTGGTGAAGGTAGACAAATTCATATTCCCAGCTGATTTCATTGTGTTAGACTGTGAGGTAGATTGGAATATCCCCATTATTTTGGGACGGCCATTTTTAGCTACTGCAAGAACCCTCATTGACGTAGAAAAGGGTGAGATCACCATGCGAGTAAATGATGAGAAGGTGATATTCAACATGAATCAAGCCTTGAAGTTTCCAGATGATTCTGCTCACTGTAATTGTATTGATGTGATTGATTCCACGGTGCAAGAGGAGCTGATTAACTCTTTGACCAAAGACCCATTAGAAGCAGTGTTGATTGGAGAAACAAGTAGTATTGATGGCAAGGTTGAAGCTTATGCAGAAATGATGAGTATTGAAGCGTTTCCGTATCGAAAAGCTAAGACTTTTGAGCCTCTAGATGTGACTAGTGCTTTGAGCTCTCCTCTAAAGCCTTCTGTGGATGAACCGCCGGTGTTGGAGTTGAAGACTTTACCATCACATCTCAAGTATGCCTACTTGGGTAATTCTACCACTTACTTTACCTGTGATTGTTTCTTCTAAGTTGTCCACGTTGCAAGAAGAGAAACTGTTAAGGGTCTTGAGACACCACAAGAAAGCTATTGGGTGGTCCATAGCTGACATCAAAGGGATCAGCCCTTCTATTTGTATGCACAAGATTTTATTAGAGGATGGTCACAAACCTTCTATTGAGCATCAAAGGAGATTAAACCCGGTTATGAAAGAGGTAGTCAAGAAAGAGATCCTTAAATGGCTTTCTGCTGGAATAGTCTACCCTATTTCTGATAGTTCATGGGTGAGCCCAGTTCAATGCGTCCCTAAAAAAGGCGGTATAACTGTAGTGGCTAACACCCAAAATGAGCTAGTTCCAACTCGTACTGTGACTGGGTGGAGAATTTGCATGGATTATCGAAAGTTAAATACAGCAACCAGAAAAGACCATTTCCCGCTGCCATTTATTGATCAGATGTTGGATAAACTTGCTGGGCAAGAATTCTTTTGTTTCTTGGATGGGTATTCAGGATACAACCAAATTGTAATAGCCCCAGAAGATCAAGAGAAAACAACCTTTACTTGTCCATATGGCACATTTGCTTTCAAAAGAATGCCATTTGGTCTTTGCAATGCTCCAGCAACATTTCAAAGATGCATGATGGCCATCTTTGCTGACATGATTGAGAAAACAATTGAAGTGTTCATGGATGACTTCTCTGTTTTTGGAGATTCTTTTGATTGTTGTTTAGATAATTTGGCGGCTGTTTTGCAAAGATGTGAAGAAACTAATTTGGTTCTGAATTGGGAAAAATGTCACTTCATGGTGCAAGAGGGCATTGTCCTTGGTCATCGAGTATCCAAACAAGGCCTAGAAGTTGACAAGGCAAAGATATCTGTTATTGAGCAATTGCCTCCACCAACAAGTGTTAAGGGTATTAGAAGTTTCTTGGGTCATGCGGGATTCTACCGTCGGTTCATTAAAGATTTTTCTAAAATCACTAAGCCCTTGTGCAATTTGTTGGAGAAAGATAGGGAGTTCAAGTTTGATGACACTTGTATGAACTCTTTTGAGGAATTAAAGAAGAAGCTCACCTCAGCACCCATTTTAGTGGCACCTAATTGGGAGCTACCCTTCATCATTATGGCAGATGCTAGTGATTTTGCCGTTGGAGCAGTTCTAGGACAAAAAGTAGATAAGGTCTTCCATCCCATCTACTATGCTAGTAAAACGTTGGATGATGCCCAACTTAACTACACTACTACTGAGAAAGAATTGCTTGCAGTGGTGTTTGCTTGTGAGAAATTCCGGTCTTATATTGTGGGCACCAAAGTGACTATCTATACGGACCACTCTGCCCTAAAGTATCTGTTTACCAAGAAAGATTCCAAGGCACGCCTAATTCGATGGGTCCTTTTTCTTCAAGAATTTGATTTGGAAATTGTTGATAGGAAAGGCACTGAGAACCAAGTGGCCGATCATCTATCTCGATTAAGTAGTGAAGCTCAACATGATCATTGTCAAGAGATCAATGCAGCTTTTCCTGATGAATGCTTGTTCTTTGTGGATAACTCAACTACTCCATGGTATGCAGATCTGGTTAATTATCTGGTTTGTGGAACTCTGCCACTAGACCTTAACTCCCATCAAAAGAGGAAATTTCTTCACGATGCAAAGTTGTACTTCTAGGAAGAACCTTATTTGTTCAAAGATGTGCCGATCAGATGATAAGAAGATGTGTTCCGGAGGTTGAGCAGCAAGATATTCTAGAGTGTTGCCACTCTTCAGCTTATGGTGGACATTTTAGAGGAGAGAAAACGGCTGCCAAAGTCCTTCAAAGTGGTTTTTATTGGCCTTCACTATTCAAAGATGCATATGCCTTTGTGATTCGATGTGATCGATGTCAACGAGTGGGAAACATATCAAGAAGGAATGAAATGCCTCTGAATAATATTCTGGAAGTTGAACTCTTTGATGTTTGGGGAATTGACTTCATGGGCCCGTTTCCAAAGTCTCTAAATCAAGAGTACATTCTGGTTGCTGTGGATTATGTCTTGAAATGGGTTGAAGCTACTGCATGTGTATCCAGTGATGCTAAAACGGTGATCAAATTCTTAAAGAAAAACATCTTCACGAGATTTGGAGCACCTCGGGCTATTATTAGTGATGGTGGTTCTCACTTTTGCAATCATCAATTTCAAGCTCTGATGAAGAAATATGGTGTAAAGCACAGGGTAACTTTGGCTTATCATCCTCAATCAAATGGCCAAGCAGAAATATCCAACCGAGAGATCAAAAGCATTCTTGAGAAGGTAGTAGGTGCAACAAGAAAAGATTGGTCATTAAAACTGGATGATGCTCTTTGGGCCTACAGGACAGCATATAAAACTCCGATTGGGATGTCTCCCTATCGGTTGGTGTTTGGAAAAGCATGTCATTTGCCTGTAGAATTGGAACATGGAGCTTATTGGGCCATAAAAAAGCTCAACTTTGACTTTCAAGCTGCTGGTGCAAAAAGGCTCCTACAACTGAATGAGTTAGAGGAATTTCGCCTTAATGCCTATGAAAGTGCAAGGCTCTATAAGGAACGGACCAAGAAGTATCATGATCAGAAAATTATCCCAAGTCTTTGAAGCGGGGCAAAAGGTGTTACTTCATAATTCCAAATTGAGACTATTTCCGGGCAAACTCAAATCACGTTGGTCAGGGCCATTCACTGTGGTACAAGCTGCTAACCATGGTGCAGTGGAGCTGGAAAATGAAAAAGGTGAAAGATTTCATGCCAATGGCCAACGTTTGAAGCATTATTGGGGTGGAAAGGTGGATCGTCAAGTTTCCACGATCTACTTTGCTGAACAATCATAACAAAGCTGAAGAGTCAGGTTGAAGACTATAAACCAAGCGCTACTTGGGAGGCAACCCAAGCTCTAAACTTGCCTTTGATGTGTTTCTTTTATTTCAGTTGTGTTTTAGTAGATTTATGTTTGATCTTTGTTTTTGTAGGCCTCTTGGTTTATTCCTCAAACTTTGGAGCTCAGCAGGAGTGGTTGATTTCTAATTAGCGCAACCAGGGAAGTGCACCTAACTTCAATCTCTAGCAGTGGCATTGACTTTGATTGGTTTAGATTTGTGTTAAATTGAGACTTGTGGGTTTTGCTTTTATGTGGTTGTTTGTCTTGTGTTTGTTTTTATGCTTATGCTTGTGTTTAGTCTTGTTTTATTATGTGTAGGGTGCTTGATTGTGGTAGGTCCGGTTTGTGTTTGTAATTTTTCTTTGTATGCTTTCTCTGTGTGAGGCGCCGCGGCGTGTTTGAAGATAAGCCGCGGCGCCTAGTCTTCTTCTGAGTGCCATGTTCTGTATTAGGCGCCGCGGCCCCTGAGTAAATCCGCCGCGGCTCCTTAGTCCTAAGTTGAATGTCTGTCTCGGTAAAAACCGCCGCGCTCCTTGCTTAATCCGCCGCGGCGCTCTTGCTTTGCCCAGGATCTGCAATTCTGTGTAAGGCGCCACGGCGCCTTGATTAATCCGCCGGACGCCATATCGCATTTAAGATTTGTGTTCCCCGTTTTAGCCTTGCTCATTTGTCTCAATACCCACTTTGCCCTTACGTATCTGACCGTTTTTTAGGGTAGATTCATTGATTTAATTTTAAAAAAACCTAACCCTTTGGTCTTTTCACTCCCAAGCCCAATTTCAAGCACCACCCCTTTTCATATTAGATACCCCCGTCGATTCCTCCTCTCCCTATCATATTCGAAATACTCCTTCCTTCCAGCTCAGAATTTTCTCTCCCTCTCTCGTCGCCTCGCCGTCTTCCGTCGCCCATCAGGCTCGCGTCGCCGGTCGCCGAGCTTCTCCGTCCTCCACCGCCAGTCAGTGTCTCTACCGCCGCCGCCCTCATTTCTTCCCCACCATCGCCGGTTGTTTCCTCCCTCTCCCATCTCGAACCACCGGTCACCCCTCAATCTCGCGTCTCCAACAGTCATTCTTCCTCTCT